AGCAACGAGAATCATGGCCTGGATTTCCATCATTTAATCTCCTAAGATTTGCCATGTTCAAAAAGCTGCTGTTTTCAGCAGATTGTACTCTTCTGATGATCATGTTGTTATTGTTCAGTTGGCCGTATTTCGATGCGTAATAAATTATGTGGAAGAAAAGCTGCTGAATTGGGGAACTATTTTCTGGAAGCCTTTTCAGTCGGATGTCAAGGATTCTGGTCACTTGGATGACTACATTTTCTATTACTTGGCAGAAGTTTAAAAAAAATTTTTTTTCCTAAGAAATTACAGAAGCTATTTTTGGAAAATACCTACTTTCTCAGAAAAGCCTTATGTGAAGAACCTCCATAGCGTCGCCTTGTCTCCTCCCATCTCCCCGGGTCCCCTTGTCCTCTCCGCTCTGACAGCAGGAGACTAGAGCTCTATGAGCTGGCGGGTCTTTGTCATTGAGAGGAGCCAGAAAGAGCGCGCTTCTGTCCATTTCGCGAAAGCGTAGCACCTACAAACAGCCTCCTGAGGCCTGGAAGGGCCGGGGTCAGCCTGGGGCCCCGAGGCGTCCACATCGGCGCGCGTTCACCTGTATTTCTGAACTCTTGAAGCCGAGGTGCTAATAGTTGCCCTCATTTCTTCCATGGAAAAACATTTTCACAGTTAGAGAAATCGACGGCCAGGGAAGCGAAGGCTTTGCAGAAACCACTCAGCTCGCTCGCAGCAGCGGTAAGAGGGACGGCGAGATGCCGGACCTCCGCCCCTCCGCCGAGGACTCCGAACTCCGTAGCTCTGTGAAGGGACTCTTCTGACTCTCTCCTGAGAGGCGCTTGCTCAGAAAGAGGAATGAACTACCCAGAAACACGGGCATTGGCAGCTGTGCCATTTCACTGTCCTGCACATGAGCGACCCTGCGTGCCGTCCCGTCAATGACCCTGAGCACGTTGCCATCCCTGAGGAATAAGACAGGCGATGTCTCCGCCGTCCTCCTCAACACTCAATTCTTCCCTGTTTCTGTAATGAAGTCTTCAACCCCTTAAACGTACTCCTTTGTGAGTGGGGCCCAAGTCCAGTCGCAGTGAGCATCGAACAAACGTGGCGGGAGACGTTGCAAGTGAAGACCGCGTGGGATCGCTTTGGGAAACTCCGCGGGGCAGAAGGGACAGTTTACAAGAGCGTGGCTCTGCGTCCGGCCCGCTTCACGATGGCGTGCACCTGCGCGGAAGCGCTCCCTGTGCAGATCCCTCGTTAGCGGTCCCACGAGGCGCGAGACAAGGCCCAAGGCAGCTCTCGGGCTACGGACGGGCTGCCTTGCTCTCGGTACTTTGAAGGAGTAGCAAGAGATTTTCATGGGAACTGTAAGAGTTTGACTTTTCTTGTGGGTGAGGCTGCCTACAGTCTGTGAATAATTCTTTCCTTAGACACAGAGGAAAATACAGTGTCGGAGGCAGCTCTTATTTAGAATTTCAAATTCTTTAAAGTACAAGCCACGCACTCAAGTGCCCCTCTGAATGGGGAGGGAAAGAAGGGAGGGGGCAAGCAGAGCCTGAGAGCAGCCTGCAGCCGTGCGTTTTTCTTGAGAAAGTTCTTATCAGTCTGGCGGGCTACACGCACAGCACATTTCTTGTCACCAAGTTCATATATTTTTTTATATGCCAGGATGAACGTCCATGTGTCATTTATTTGCTGTGTCAGGCTTTTGGGTTTTGAAGTGATATAGCCCTCGTCATAGACACCAAGCGAGAAGCACACGGCCAAGGAAGGACAGGTCACCCGACTCTAACCTGCAGGGACAGTCCCTGCCTTCCTCCTGGAAACAAGCTCCTGGCCTCCCTCCGGTGCCCAGCTCTGTGTGCACAGCGGCGAGAGAGGTTCAGCTCGAGCAGGGCTCGTTCAAAGGGGAACCACGGGCTTCCTGTGAACGCCTTCCAGCGTCACCTTGCCCGCTGCGCGGATGCGCTTCCCTCGCCAGAAAACAGAGGCTCGCAGCCCTGGAGCACCTGCCCCCGCAGCCCCAAGCTGTGGTCAGGACGGCGTTCCACAGGGACATGAAGGGCCACTCTTGTCGTTCAGGGCGCCCGGCGTGGCAGGCTCCCGACGGGCGGCCCCAGCCGTGGCCGCCACCCGGGCCCCCTGGCTCCCCGGGGCCGGCCCCCAAGGTTCCGAGCGCAGGCTCTGCAGCTGCAGCCCCCGTGGGGGGGGGACCGGCGGAGCGTTTGGGGCCGAGCCCGTCTCCACCCACATCAGAGGCAGCGCAGGAGCTGTGAAGTGCAACCTCAAGCCCTCCATTCGCTGCTGCCTCTCTGTGGCCAAGGCGCCACTTCCTACAGCGGCTGCGGTGGAGGACCACGTGGACGGGGCTGCCGACCCAGCCCTGAAGGGCCCGGGAGAGGGGCCTGCCCTTCTGCACCTTCGCTTTCCGGGCCGTCAGCCCGGAGCCACGCCCGCTTCCCAGGCCCTCCGCGTGCTCGAGGGGCGGGGGAGGCAGACGGAGCGAGCGAACGAGAACATGTCAGCCCGATGCTGCTTCGAGGGGGCAAGACGCAGAGGGGAGGGCATTTTGGAAAAGGAGAGGTTTCCACATTGTAGGTTCTTTTTATCATTGTTATTTTATTATTTCCCCCCATCCTCCCACCCCCTTCCCTGTGGTAACCACAGGCTTGTTCTCTGAGCCCGTGGGTCCATTGCTTTTCGGTTGGTTCATTTTTTCATGCTCATTGTTTTTTGAGAGGAAATGGAAGTGAGTTGGTAGTAGAGAAGGCGAAAAAGGAAGTGTTCGTAAGGTAGAAAGCAAGAAGGGTCGGACCTGAGTGAGAACAGGGGTTGCTCTGCCTTCACCTGCATCTACCCCGTGACAAGCCCCGGGGAGGTCACGCCCCCTCCCGCCAACACCGGTGGGCCCTCTTTGGGATCCTTTGCTTCTGGTTCCCACCATCGGCCTCACGGCCTTCCCGTCGGTCCCGGCCTTCATCCTGGACTCAGGGCGGTTGTCCCTCTGCTCTGCCTCGCCTGCCGCGCGCTCCGCACAGAGCGCCCTGCCAAGAATAAATTCCGCCCTATTTCTCCCAGCCACAGGGTTCCCGGGAGGTGGGTGCAGGCTGGCGTCTAACCCAGCGGGGTGCCCGCCGAGCCGGCCCTGGTCTGAGGACGCCCATCTCTCCCAACCCGCCCCCTGCGCTGCGGGGCTGCAAAACCAGAGCGCCTCCCCGCCTCTAAGGAGGCGGCTTGGAGGAAACCTCCTGCAGGCCTGCCTACCCCGGCCCCGCCACACCCCTGCCATCCCCGCCCCTGCCATCCCCGCCCCCGCCCCGCCGCCAGCGCAGCGGCCCTTCTGCTGGTCACTCAGACACAGCGGAACGCCGCCTCCTTCGGGCCCTCGTGACGTGAAACTCTTCACACTGCATTTTAATCATTCGTCAACACATCTGTTTCCACCACTGCTGCTGGCGGGGGGGGCGGGGGGGGGGACTTTGCTCCTCCTTGTTTTTGTGGTCCTCTGTCTTATCGCCAATGCCTACACCAGACATGATTCTAAAAATAAGTGTGAAAGAGTAAATCAACGAGTATCCCACGGCAACCCCAGGGGCGACGCAGGGCACTTTGTGTTGCGACCGTCCGAAAGCTCGGCTCCATGCAATTTAAGCACAGAGGTCACACACCGGCTCGCGTGGGCTAGACCTCGGCGGGGTGGCGCTCGGGTAGATGCAGCCCCGTCGAGCGCCCAACAGTAGCAGTTTTGCCACATCCCTCCGTTCCCACCTCCGAGGCTGCATTTCAGCCGTCTGGGCTTTGGGTTTAGAATCGGTTTGGTGGCAAGAGCAGGTCAAACTCCTCCCCCCCGCCGTTTTTATTGCTTCCATTTCAGTCCTGTGGGGACGGGGGTGGGGGAGGGGGTGGGGGGGGCAGAGAGGGTTCTTGCCCAGAAAGACCAGTTAAAGCTGCCTGAACCGCACTGACTTGGGCCAGGTAGGGCGCTCACCGTGGAACCGACATCTCTGGCCCAGAGGACGCTCTGCCCGGCGGACGCCGGCCTGTGTCCTGTGCCCCGCCTGGGCGGGCGGCTTCCCCAGAGCCCAGGGCTGCGCGCAGAGGAGGGCCACGTGCTCAGAAGGGGGCCGGGGAGAGGAAGGATGACAGGGGGCGACAGCACCGACAGGTCAGTTACGGGAGCTGAAAAAATCGCCTTCTCCCGTGACAGCCGGACTTGGGGAGCTGGGGGTCTATCCGTGGCCTAATCACTATGGCAAAACCAGAAACCTCACCTCCTGTTTTGTTTTTGTATAACTCGCACTTTCCGGCATGCCTTTTGAGAGGTCACCTTGCTCATTTTGATAATCGGACCAAGAAAAGCAATTATTCTGATCAGTACGGTCAAAACTGTCCATTCAGGTGGCCCAAGGGGAAAGGGTGTTTTTGAGATAGGCCCTGAGTTTTCAAAAAGATTTAATGTCACTCTTCATTGCGGTACGTGTTATGTTATTTCAGGTACCTATTGCTGCTCATGAACTATCCCCCCAAATCGGGTCTTAAACCATGTATTATTCCCATAGTTCATGATTCTGGGGACCGAGAATTGGGATGGGACAGTCACATGAGGCTCCTCGCCACGGGGCCTCAGCGGATGACAAGTCTAAGAGCTCGAACAGTCGAAGGCCAAACTCCGGTCTGTCCGCCAAACCCAGCCTTCAGCTGGTTGTACAGCATGAGCTAAGAAAGCTTTGCAAATTTGTAAATGTTTAAAAAATATCTAAAGAAGAATAATGCTCCATGAGGTCTGAAACTTCAATGGAGTTCCAAGTTGCATCCATAAAGCATTATTGGAACACAGCCACACGCATTTGTTTAAATGTTGTCTACTCTCCGTACAGCCCACAAAAGCTGACATTTACTCTCTGACCCTTTACAGAAAATGCGTCGGCTTCTCCTTCAAATGACGTGGACGTGTGGCTCCAGGCGTCAGGAGTGGGGAGCCCAGAGGCCATTTTCTGAAGACCTTTTCTGTCGTCCACGTCCTGCAGCTCAAGGTGAGGAAGGAGAGGGAGGAAGGGGGCAGACCCAAGAGACTTCCGACTTGAGTACCTGGGCAGGGGGCGGCCCTTGATGAAGGTGGGGACGTCCGCTGGGGCGGGAGGGCAGGGCGAGGGGCGAGGGAATCAGGGCTCAGCTTCAGCGCGGTCGTCCGAGGAATGCCCAAGGCAACAGGCAGCGGGCAGAGAGGTGAGGTTTTGGCTGAGGCTAGAAAATACGGATGGATATTTCAATCCATGGGGATCTATGGCATTTCAATACCTGGGAACCAATGAGAATATCTTGGGAGAAAGTGTGGTGGAAGAAGAGGGTCTCAAATGGCAACATTTAGAAGCTGGACAGCAGAGAATGAGACCAAGGTTGCTGTTTTCACAACAGGATGGCTGAGGTAGGAAGCCCTGAAACAGAATCAGGTTTTGGGAAAGACTAAGAGTTTAATTTTCATCTTCTGTTTCCCACCGGTTACCCCCAGGGTGTCTAAGCCTGCGAGGTCCCTGTTTCTAGTTATCCTGTTAGAATTCTAATTATTTTGCTATATGCCCTCATGATCTCTTAGGATACATCCCATTATAACTTCATCGAACAGAGTAAAAGTTATCAAAGTCAGAGTAAGAAATACTATCACGAAAGACCAGTGTGTGGCTCTGCCGTACTTGTGACTCACAAAGCCATGGACCCACGTGGCTCTCCTCGCTCTCTGAGGAAACCTGGCTTCCCAGAAGTCACATGTGCTAAGACCTAAGCACTGCTTCTGCCCAGCTCAGTGGCCTGAGCGGCAGGTTTTCTCACCCTTCTCGTTCTCAGAAGCTGCAGCGACAACGCGTAGAGCTACGCGAGTCTTGGTGTTAAGCCAGCTCTGTTCATCGGTTTGTGAGGTACGAGGTGGAACTTGGACAACCGTGCGGTCACTCTCGTCCCTCGTGGGCAACAGAACTGCCGGATGTTTAGCATGAAGCCTGGCCTCAGGGTGCAGACGGGGCGTCCTAGGGCTTCGCCGCCACAGAAGGGCCCGGAGGACGGAGACTGCCCTGCTGCGGGGCGTGTGGGCTGCTTCCCTGCCTTGGCTGTTGTGCATAACGCTGCAGTGAACACAGCGGGGCATGTATTCTTCTGCCTTGCTGTTTCAGGTTTTATCTACCCTTCTTCTCGGCAGTGGGGGGTGGGTCTAAGGAGGAGTAGGATGCACGTTCTATTGTGCATGCTTCTAATTTCTAATTATAATCTAATGTGTTTACACCATTAATGGAATGCTTGTTTAATTTAGTTCTCCCAGCAATACTAAGGTAGTATGATTGGTTGCATAGCAGAGAAGTTCAATCATCCCTAGAGCGACTGACCATTAGGCCAAACCCCCTTCTTATGTTTGCATCGGCATCGCGCTGTTGGTCTCCGTTGGCAGTGACGGGCTGGAACGCCCGGACCAGGGTGCCCGAGGTCACGGGGTCAAGGTCTCGGCAGTCGGAGCAGCACCCCGCCCCTCCATGCAGCCTGCCATCGCGTCGGTGAGACTTACTTTTGTCTGGATTTGCCACTGACACAAAGACAGAGGAGAAGCTTTATCAAGTAGCACTGATTTCCTTGCTTAAGACCTACATTTTTTAAAGGCAAAATGGTAAGATGCAGGAATGTATTTTTAGGTCAAATGATCAAGATGCAGCTGCGTTCCATCCTTTGAGCTCTTATATTTTGTTCACCCATAAGAATATGCCTCAAATTTTATAATTGCTGGTGTTAATGAATTTAGTCATTTGTTTCACAGGGAAATGTTTCTATAGCCATCACCCCCGGCCTGTGCCATAGCACGGACTTCCCAAGCCTTCCCCTGCCTCCTGCACTTGCCACTCCCGATTTGTGTTGGCCATGCCACAGCCTTGTGTGTAGGACTCATTCATTCATTCATTCATTCATTCATTCACTCAAAAAATGGTGTGTACGGCAGCCCCTGTCCCGGGCCCCCCTTAGACTTCACGGTTCACCAACCAAAGACAGGGTGAAGTTTTCTAGTGGGGGAGGTAGATGGCAATAAACAAATATGCCCCTACATCAGGAGAAAATAAGCAAGATTCTGAGACAGGAAAGAACGCAGAGGAGCCTCTTTTAAGTGGGATGATCAGGGAAACATCACCGAGGAAGTGACATTTAAGCTGTTCCTTAAAGGAAGTCATGTCAAGTGGGTGGTGGGGGTGGAGTAGGAAGAAATTCAAGTACAATGAAGGGCAAAGGCCTTGAGTGGAAAGGAACTGGCATTTCCAAGAACATACCGATCAGCGTGGCCGAGTCTAGTGTGAGCAATGTGGCAAGCAGCATGAGGTGCTTTGAGAAATGGGTACAGAGATTGGGTTTTACTCAACATGCACAGTGGAAAACCATCAAGAGGTCGTTAAGGACCAGTCTCATCCTCATTTGTAGTTAGAGGAGATCTATTGATGGCCCTGAGGAGGACATAGTAAAGGGAGGTGACACAGAAGCTTGGAGAACAGGGAAAAGGCAGCATGAGCCTGGCAGTGGCTTGGCCCTAAGTCATATAATCCAAGATGGAGCGCGCTTGTATGGTGGAGAAAAAAGCAACGGCCCGTGTTAATAAAATAAATGTCGTTGCGATGGAAAAGGAGAAATAAAAAGTAAACCTTAGATTTCTGGCTTAAGAGGCTGGACAGATGTTGGCGCATCTACGGGGAGGAGTAGAGGGGGCGTTAGGGCAGATTAAGGAGGGTCAGGATTTCTACTTCCTGTTGAGGAGCAAATGTGGTTCCCGAGGCCTGAACTGCCGATCTGACAGGAGAGGAATAGCTAAGACTCCGCAGCAGGAAGGAACTCCCCTTGGAAAAGAGAAGTGGACCCAGGACTGAGCTTTTCCATGTGACAGTCCTCAGGGGTCAGGCAGAGAAAGGGGACCCAGCATGGCAGCCACCAAGGTCAAGGAGAGTCAGTCAATGATGGTGTCTTGAAAACCGCCCCAGAAAAGGGTTAGAGAAGGAGGAGCTGACTGTGTGTAACGCTGCTGAGAAGGCACCTGTCGTGAGGACAGAGAAACCCGCGCTGGTGTGAGGTCTGGCCTCCTGGGGCTTTGCACGCTTCAGTGAACAGCTGCCCCGTCTCTTAGGAGAAAGGCAAATCTCTCCAAGGGCTTGAGGCCCAGCCGAGTCTGCTGTTACCCTCCTCGGAAACGTCATCGTTTTTCTTCTTTTCCATGTCTGACCGTTTTGCTAACTGAGGTACACTCGACACATAACACTGTGTGAGTCGAAGGCGCACAACCTGTTGATGTGGCGCATTTGCGTCGGGCAGGGTGCCAGGCTCTGGGCCCTCGGCCTCTCGAGCGCCGCCTGCCCTCGGCAGGATGGTCCCTTCTGCCCGGAGGGCCCGCTTTCTGCCCGTGCCCACAGAACCGCGGTTGTCCCGGCAGGTCTAGCTTCACTGCTGTGTATTGCAGGCCAGCGTCCCTGGCCGTGTGACTATGTCACGTCCCCTGCAAGTGCTGCCTTCACAACATCAAGTCCCTCCTGTGCGCCCAAGTGGTCGTGACGATGAGCTGATTCATCGCTGCCACCTCCCGTGAAGTGCGGGCTCCGCCGCGGCAGGGGGCGCGGCTGTCCTGGCTCGCCCTTCTTCACGCCAGGGCACTTGACTGTCTCATGTTAGGGGATGGCTCTTTGCTGAATGAGCGAAAGAATAAGGCCTGCCCTTGCAGTTCGCCTCAGGTAACCTGTCTCTACCTTCATACAACTTTTACTCTACGGAGCTGAAAAATCTGGACATGGAAGATTAGGCAAAACACAATCTAACATGGAATACTACAGCTGGCACAAATCTGTTATGGAAGTCAGTCGGCTATCATGATTTCGGAATTGTGATGCTCAAACTTGAGATGGTTTCAGATACATACTGTTTCCACGACTCAAAACCCACTATTTGCACCATGTGAACTCTGGTGTTACTTCCTGGTCTTTTCCCAGCCTCAGTTTTTTGTTTTTTTATTTTAAATTTAAAAAAAACTTCAATTAGACTTGACATGCAATATTATTCTGTATTAGCGTCAGGCGTACGGCCGAGAGGTTAGACAGCCATGCCCTTCACCGCGTGGCCCCCCGAGGTGCCCAGTGCCCGCCAGGCCCCCCTGCAGAGCCGCTGCGGCGTTGTTCCCCGTGTCCTCTGCGCTGTGCTTTGCAGCCCCGTGACTCTTCTGTAGCTGCCCATTTGTCCCTCACCTGTGCCCCCAGGCCCCGTGGCCCTTCGCTCTGACAGCTGCCAGCCTGTTCTCTGTGCCTATGCGTCTCTATTTCTTTTTCCTTTGTCCTTTTGATTCCACATAGGAGTGAAATCATAGGGTATTTGTCTTTCTCTGACTCCTTTCACTGAACATAATACCCTCTAGGTCCATCCATGCTGTGACAATTGGTAAGAGTTCTTTTTTTTTTAATGGCCGGGTAGTGTTCCATTTTGTAAATATACCACAGCTTCTTTATCCGTTCATCTATTGACGGGCACTTGGGCTGCTTCCAGATATTGCCTATTGTAAACAATGCTGCAAAGGACATAGAGGTGCATGCATTTTTTCGGATCACTGTTTGGGTTTCCTTGGATGTACACTCAGAAGTAGGATCTCTGGGCCATAAGGCAGTTCTAAATTTAACTTTTTTGAGGAACCTCCATACTGTTTTCCCCAGCGGCTGCACCAATTTGCATTCCCACCAGCAGTGCACGGGGGTTCCCTTTTCTCCACATCCTTGCCCACACTTGCTGTTTGTTGATTTGCTAATGAACAGATGCTTCCGTTTCTATGAGAGTTTTTGCTGCAAGCTCAGGGCCCAATGCGTGACCGCAGACGTGGTAACGTGGAGGTTTCATTGGATTTGGGAAGGCCAGCCGCTAACAAGACCCCGGCCGTGGTATCCAGGCTAGAGCTGCCACCGTCAAAGGGGACCTGTGACCTGTGCTCTGTGCCCCAGCAAGCTGCCAGGACCTTCCTTCTGGCCTCCCTGCCGGCAGAAGTACCTCAGGGGTACCTGGCCCATCCCTGCCTCTGTGCGAGAGCCACTGAACTGCGCACATACTCACTCACTGATGTCTCTCTGTGTCAAACTCTACGTGCTTGTACCACTACGGTAATGCAGCGTAGGGTTTGCTACCAGGGTCCCATATTCCCTGTAGGCATTGAACGCAACTCTAACACATGAAAACAAAACCTATAACCCAACTCATTTGTTGACAATTAAGCTCTGTATGTGTTGGGTAGAATCTCTCTGGCCACCTGTCCAAATGACATTGAATCTCCTAAATTCTTACTATTGCTTCAAAACCCTTTTTAAAAGATTGTCCCCGAAGCATTATAGTTTGAATAATCATAATTATGCCTTATATCGCACGTACCGCTGAATTCCTCATGGTTCTCTGCCTGTATGCTCTTTTATGGATGTGCCATGAAGAGCGTGGTCTGTTAATGTGTGTCTTTGAATGGAAAGGTTGGGAGGTATTGCTGAGGGGGGAAAGCAAAGGGTGAACTTTTGTAAAAGATCTTGACTTTTATTGTGATTCTCTCCCTCGTCAACAGCGTCAAGAATATCTCGAGTCTCAGAAACATGTGTTTTTTGAAGCAGGATTTGCTAGTGGGGAGGAGTTCTGATTTCAGCCCTGGCCCCGCAAGGGCATTGGTGGGAGATTTGGGGCAAGCCTCCCTGGAGGCTTTTGCACAGGAAATGGTTTGACTATTCGACCTGCCGCGCTGCTGGGGTTTGAATACCCTAGTCACATAGGTGGTTAATGGTTGCCCAAATTAACCAGAGAAGTAGTCATTTATTCAGGTATTTTCTACTAATTTAAGAGTGAATCATTTTGCCATCACCTGCCTGTGCTGACTCTGTTTTATCATATCTTAGGTGACAAAATTATTGATTCTTTGGGGGAGGGTATGGTATTTATTGATTATTTGGGGGAGTGTATGGTATTTTAAACTTACTGTTGTAAAGATACTTATACTAGTAATCTTTGGATTCTTAAAGACATCTTCCTTGAAGAGAAAAATCTTTCAATAAATAGAGGCCTACTAACTCAGTCTCATTACTTGACTAATTACTTTCAATAAAAATAGGCCTCCTAACTTAATCTAATTACTTGAATTAAGGAAGTAAGATGCATTTGCACTGGCTTTGAACAACTTTCTTGACTTCCTGCAAAGAGGAGGCCGCACAGTATTTTTGGAGAAGTTAGTAAAAACGAATCTGACATCACTGGTTCGCCAACGAGTGGTTTCTTCTCCGGGCAGCAGAGCAGGAAATCGCTCCCTGTGTGATAACACATCAGTGAAGAGCGTCAGTTTGGCCTTTTGTCTTTCATTTGGTTTCAGGGAGAGGAACCTTTGCAGAGATAACCATTATTTTGCCTTTTCAGAAGGACGCATGCTGTTTTGGAAGGATACGGCCGATTTCCAGATATGACCATGCATTTGTGGCTTCAACTTCTGGCATTTGTCTGTGTGCTTCTGGACCTAGGAGGCTTCGGTGAAGGTAGGCACCTGCCGTCATTGCACCCTTGCCTAGTTTTTCGCGGCAGAGGGGCAGCGGTTTGAAAGAGGAAGAAAAATAAGCTTTGGGTCGGCGACCAGAAGCGAAGAAGCTGCCATATAGGGCGTCAGAGCTGTGGGAGCTCAGAGAGGCTGGTTTACTCTGAGACCAGACACACTGCTTCTGGCCAGAGGAGGCCATAAATGTTGGGGGGGGGGGGGATCACAATTTAAAAGGAAAACTTGTCTGTTTGTATCTTTGTTTACAAACTGTGCAATGGTATTACAAAAGCAGCTGTTGCTGAACCCTTCAAAGTACACGGATGTTAAGCGCATGTTAAGTCTAAAGACATTGTAGTCACAAATAAGTTAATTTTTATCCTTTTAACGAAGCATGGATTTTTTAAAAGCTATACCGTGCCTTCTTTCCGGGCCAGGAGTTGCTTCCTCAAATTCTGATTAATAGTCATATATCTTGTTGAATAGTTAGTGATGTGATAGTTTCAAATAATACACTTGGCTACCTCACAAAATATTAACTTTTCGCATATCCTTATCACAGAATGCATTTTAAATCGGGTTTTCAGTTTTTCACTAGCGGTCTTCATGCTTATTTGCTTCAGCACCTCTTAGAGGACCACCGCCCTTCCTGGGCGACAGGCAGATGTTAGGGCTTCGACGAGGCGAAAATGGCAATTCAGCCACCGCGGCAGCGCTCTCCTCTGCTCTGCAGAAAATGTGCTGAACTGGACTTGAGACCCCAATCCCCGCCTGAGGTCTCTCTGCAGCGCTGGGCTAGTGAATGTACGTTGCTTCAGTAGTTTCAGTTCAGGGCACATTTCGGTTGATTAGTAAGCGTAGCTAGTAAATTGATATTTAATATTACTCCTTATGATGTAGTATCTAAAGCTGGTGTTTTTTTGTTGTTGTTCTTATTGAAAGGGCATCGAAATAGTATTTTTGTAGAAACATCAAGTAAGTAAAAAAAAAACCAGAAGATACTTATTTTTAAAAATCTTGCTTGTCGGTATTCACTTTGGAATCTTTCTTTCTTTCTTTCTTTCTTTCTTTCTTTCTTTTTTTTTTTTTTTTTTTTGGTCTTTCTACCATTCTCCTTTCCTCCATAAATCAGGGCAGTAGCTAATTCCTGGGCATGCGATGTTGTCAGCTCATGTTCTGTGTGACCCAGGACAGTGAGAAGCAGCATGAGGGGCTGTGTTTTTAAGCTGCAAAGATGGATTGAAGTGATTTTATACAGGGACAGCATTTTGTCTTAGTACAGAAAATGTTTATTAGTTGCCATCCTTATAAAGCTGCTTATCATAATCAAAGGGATGAAACAAAGGAAAAAACCCCTCACAGATACAGATAACAGTACGGTGATTGCCCGAGGGAAGGGGGGTAGGAGAGGGTGGGGGGATAAATGGAGGCGGAAGGAGGCCTGACTTGGGGCGGTGAACACACAGCAGAGGGTGCAGAGGGTGCGTTACAGAGCCATACGCCTGAAACCTGGATAATTTTATTAACCAATGTCACTGCACTAAATTCAATTAAAAAATTTTAAAAAGCATAATGATTTTAATAGGGTGATAATATGTGTATTATCATAAATCAGAGTAAATTTCCACGAAAATTGGCACTCAAGAACAGTTGCAGAGCATTTCCAAAAGGGCATCAATGAATGCAGAAATAGTTTGTTGGCCACAGAGCAAATCACCCTAAAAATTTCAACTCAATCTATTAAGGGTTTTTACCAGAAGAAATGTCTTTGAATTTGTAATCAAAATAAGAGTATAAAATGATCTAAAAACCTTTATATCAATTTTGCTGAATAACTTATACTGGAAATAAATGAGTATGTATACATAGATTTGTTTTGAAAGACCAAGTTTAACTTCAATTGCTCACATAAATACTGAGAACAAACATTTTCTAAAAGATGTCGATAGTCTTCCTGAAATACACAGTTTTGAAAAAAATATATAGATACAGTCATCTGTGTCTGCAAATCTTCCTTATCATGCCTTTAGATCTGAGAGACATTTTGTGATTCGATGTCTCATTTGGGAAGTTGTTAATGCTTTAAATTATATATTTTTCTTTATCAGCAACAAATGCATCAGATTATGTTTTACTCTAGTGCGTTAAACCTGAGTTTAGTGTTTGTAGGAAATACCAACTTTTGGGTATCAAATTCATATTGCAGACTCTAAAGGCTGACAGAAATAGGAGCAAATGTAGAGAGACATCAGTGAAGAAATATGGGCACAATCCTGACATTATCTCATCCCTAAAATAGAACAACATAAAATTTTGTCGGGGAGACAACAAGGTGGGTTTGAGTTTTTCACCAAAGTTTGCAGTCTCTCTGCTCTGTGCCTCTTTGCCATGAAAACTGGAAACCAAAACGTTGTTTAAAATTTCTAAGTAACTGTAAAGGCCAACGATGGTTTTGGAACGCAGCTCTGAGTCTGTGAGCTCTGAGTCACAACTGCTAAGATTCATTTCCTGGACCCAGGGCTTCATTTTTCCATCAACATCAAAAGAAAATATCTCATGTTGCAAATACGCACTGTGCCTTGCACATGGCAGGAATTCACTAGAAATTACAAACTCGAGTTGGTAAGCAGTCCCCTTACGTTCCAAATACTCTACAAGGTAGAGCTTTGGGGCTGTGTGATCATCCGTTGAGTTTTCAAAAGTGTTTTCATAGTGAAAACCTGCGTGTGACCCTTAGCACTATCAGGACCTCAGGTGCATCTTGTTAGAGGGAAGGGAAGGTGGCTCAGGGGTCTTGTTCCCCTTTTTCTCCATTGTCCTGAGCGCAGCCTCAGGGCGGTCACCTCAAGCTGGGTCGTGACACATACTAGTTCTATGTTACAGACATGATTACATAGAAACAAACATATGCATGTTTTAGATGTGGTTTTATGTCAGTCTATCATCTATCTGCTGGTTCTCCATGTCTGTCTACTTATGAAAATTAGGGTCCTGGGGGCTTCAATTCTTGCCTGTTTTTCTTTGTATTTTCCATATTCAGAGCCTCTTACCATTACTTACTACTTATTAATGACCCTGATTCTCTGTCTCCAGGCTCATCTCTGAGGTGTGGAACCTACTTTCTTCTCTAAATTTAATCTTGTTTTGTGTCTGCAAAAAAAAGAAAAGAAAAAGAAAAAGAAAAGAAAAAAAAATCTGGAATAAATTTAAATGCTCCCCAAATTCTGTAGCTTTAGTTTTTAATAATCCTGGAGATCTTTCTCTTCATCTCCTCAGCCAGCCCCTTAATTCATGACCTTCTTCTCAGTTGTCACCTGGGGTATTGGAATAGGTTCTCAATTCATCTGGAGTCCCATTCACTTCTTCCCACACTGTACAGCTTAAAATGGAAAACGAAAAGGGGAGCAGGCATCCGGGATCTCTGCTGCCTTTGCTGCACGTTCTACACTCCTGGCCAGATGAGCTGAGCTCTCGGATGAGCAGGGAGTGGGGCCCGGCCTGGGCACAGACCTTTTCTGCTTTCTCTTTGGGCTGATTAAAATAGTATGAGCATCAGCCTGTTTCAACACAGGTCCTCTTGCCCAAGCTCATGCTCTGAGCAAATCCTATTTCCCCTCTTGGGTTCCCCTTTATTGCTCTTGCCACAAAATATCGACACTAAAATTGTACCCTTTTTGCCCCCTCTCCTTAGCATCTTTCACATACTCTTTCCATAGCGGTTGGTGGTGTCATTAGCAGTTTTATTCGCCGGTCAGAGCACGGACTGCCCGTGGGGCCTGCCTGGAAGCAGAGGCTTCTCGTGTCTTTTGTCGTGGCATCTGCGCCTGATTTCATAGCAGGGACTTACATGTTTGTGGACAGAACTGCAGAATATGGCAGAGGAGGAGAGGAAGAGGAGAAAAACTCAGGGAGAGGGAGGGCAGAGGAGGAGGAAGCGTGAGACAGAAAACCTAAGAGGCAAGCAAAGCAGGTTGGAGGTGGTGAGAGAACTTCATCAAAGTTATTTTAGGTCTACATTTCTACAGGCTTCTCCCTTCCCCGCCCGTTTCATCTCCTAGTTTACTTTTCATCTGGAAAGATTTTCTGGCTTCTGAAAAACCCATTGTGCACCAGTGTTGGTCCTAAATTTTCCTTGACCGCCCCCGTGCGTGTTCACGCTGACGGCATTTTAGCGGTGGGTCCAGTTTGCTCCTCAGAGCCGGGTCCAGAGAGGAAAGTGGGGAGGGACGGGCAGGGAGACGACCTTGTCCCCCGGTGCGGCCCTGCGGGGCCCCCGCCCCCACGCGGGCTGGCGGCGGGCCGCTTCCAGGCGCAGAGGGAAGGCATAGCACGGTCCGCGCTGCCTGTGCGCCCCAGGAAGCCCGGGGACAGCCTTGGCTTCGCTTCTCAGCAGACGACGTGCTGAGGAGTTTCAGTCTGATCCGGTCCGAGCAGAGACTCGCAGTCGGGGCCGTGCAAGGGTCAGTGCAGGCCAGGCTCTGCGTGCAGGCCGCGTGCGGGGAAGTCACTATGGCGCAGAGAAGGACCTCTCTTTGGTCTTTTCCAGTCGTATGTTTATGGGAATATTTGCACAGGAGAAAACTGGGATGAAAATTTAACTGAGTCACAGTTTAAACTTAACTTCTGTCTGGTCTCAGGAGCTCTGTTAGTACTATAGGGAGCCATCCCAGTTGCCTGACACCGAAGTGTTAGTGCCATGACTTTGCATCCATAAAAGCAGTACTTTTAGGGAAGGACAAAGAGGGAAAATGAAATATTGCAGGCTAATCATTTAGCAATATGATGTGATTGATACCTGTTGCTACATATACAGAAATATGGTAACTACATGGCCCTAACTAGTATTTACATTAAAAAATATCTAATTATTGCCAAAACACTTTAATATGCATTCCTTTTTCCTACATCAATGTGCCACTTCAGTTTTCGTCTGGCAAGACGCTTGGGAATGGCCCCTTCAAGCAGTGTTGTGTGTTCACAGTAACTCCAACAAAAACAAGAAAA